CCAGCGGAGTAGAATCGTCTCCATTCAGACATTCCATTTGCCTTTTGTCTATCAAACAAGTGATATCTGACTGGCCAGGGACATCTCCAGATGGCTGAGTGTCGGCCCATTTCTGCACCATGGCCTCAAGACCACTATTGTTTGCACCACGCAAGGAATCCACCTTTGTGCTAAACAGGAAGAATTGACCAATTATCTCTTAAAAAAATTTGCAAAAGTTACATATTGAAATACACGAACCCATTCACGAAGACAATGAAGGTTGGCATGGCAGATACACCATTTTGAGCTGCCGTCTCTGCAGAAACAAGGTATGAGACTAATAAGAACTTGGCTGAAAGTTTAAAAGGTGGCAAACCTTCACACTTGTCCACATCAACTTTGAGAAAGACCATCGACATGTATTTGTTAGAAAGACTTTCAAAAAATGGTGCAATCATCTTGCATGGACCGCACCTAGATGGCACTATGCTATTAATGGATATAACTTGTAAAAGAGTTGCTTTAAGTCAATAAGTGAAGTAATTCAAAAACTAAGACTTGACTTACCATTCTGCAGAGAAATCTACCACTACAGGCTTGGCTCCTGCCTCACCCATAGCAACTTGGAAATCTGAGTCGTCCTTACAAACCCTAACAGGCATTGTATCTAAAGAAGACGTTATGGGAAAAAAAGCAGGATAGTGAGTAAAGATATAACAATGGTTAAAAGTCAAGTATTAACCAACAAAACTGCTTTTCAAAAAAAAATTGAGTAAAATACTTTTCTTCCATCACAAATGACTAGAAAACAATGAATTTGAACTTTGATTAAACAATGCAGAGTGAAATGTAAACCTTCATACACAGATGGCATTCTCATGTATTTAAGTTTTGTTTGCGATGAGAGTAATTCCAAAAAGATGCAGATGGTGGAAAACCATCTTATACTAAAACGCATTTGGCATCTATGTTTGGACACCAAATCAAGAAACAACATTGACTACTTCTCGAATTGCGAGCTACCGCATACATTGTAAAGCGCTGGTGTTTGACGTGCGCATGCTTTTCTGAACTAAAACCCTCATTCGCCACTAATAGGCAAAATGCAGTTAAAATTTGTCATACTATCTCAAAACTTGCATATGATGTTCACTGCCAAAAGAAAGTATCATTAAAGATCCCAACAGATTCATTAGAGACCCATGTGATTGGTCTGAATGAATTGAATGGTCTAGAGTTATATTTGACCAACTAAAAATAATTTAATGTTTGAATAACTTGGCAAACAAATCAACTACTGCGCTACCCATATCAACTGACACAGATTTGAGTGGTGTCGGCTTAAGGCTAAAACTCTCCTTAGCTTATCACGAGCACCGTATCTTCAGGTTGAAGGATCCTTGAAAGATAGGATCCACTTTATTGAGCCTATGGAAATCTTGCTAAGTTTGCCAATGCGGACGTTAAGGAGACTATACCGACTAGACTAGAGTAAATCAGATTTTGCGTCAAGTTCAACAAGAAACTCAACTGCTTTTGGTTAAAAACATCATTGTTTCTCTGATTCAAATAACCATAAATAAGGCATAGCTGAGGAATTCTGTTGCAATAACTACATTTTGAAAAAGATGTGAGCAATTCTTAGCAAGAATAGGATAATCACTTATATCCCAACATAAAAGATGTGCATTAAATGCATGGCAGAGTGTAAAATATTAAACAAATAGACCGCAGAAGAAAAAATCGCCACATCCACATCATTTCATGACAATTCCCAAATGCGGTAGGCTACAATCGGTGTAGCTACACATAAAGCGCCTTAACGACAACAGGTAATCTTTCTGTCAGATTGAATCTTTTCCTATAGTTTCTAGCTGGTAGGTAAGAGAATAGTTCAATCCAGCCACACCTTTTTTAACCGGTAGATC